TCAGCATCAGCTGTTGATGAACTTTTTCATAGCTATATTTTTACTTTATATATATTATTGTAAAATTTCCGGAAGAAAAATACAAAAGTTCAACCACAACTGGCTCATAATAATTTAAAATTATTGAGAAAATTTAATAAGTATAAATTACCACTATTTGCTAGCATACTCTAAATCTACAGTCCAATATTTTTAAATCCTTTAAATTGTGCATAATGCGTAAAAATCATACGATCCAATATATACCCCATACTATATAAAAGTAAGTTAATTTTAAAAATAGAAAATATTGCAATTACTCTGTTAACTAAGACTAACGAATTTCATTTTAAAAAGAATGTTAATGAGATGTGTCATTTTAAATGTGCCTAATAGAGATGAAAAATTAAGTTGAAATAAGAAAATCTTCTGATCTAAAAACTGAATGCTTAGCAAAAGAGGTAAAATTCAGTGAACAGCTTGCTATGGCCAAGCAAATGTAGTCCACGTTAATTTGTGATGGACAAATAATATATAAACTTTATTAAGAAAGCTATTTAAGCGACTTTTATTTTACCTTTATAAAAGAGCTTAATTCAGCATTGGGTAGATCAAACAATGTATTTTTTTTGGGGAACTTTGGGAATGATTTTTGAAAGTCCGGCAAACTTTCGATTTCTGGCCAACTGTTTATGTCTGGTGTCCCAAACAAGCGAAATATAAGGAATATTTGGTCAATTTCAGAATCTCCTGCAAAGAGCACTTCTCCAGTTACCTAGAATTAATATTTAATTGTGATATACCATCTCAAATAAAATGCAACCGAAACTCCAAATATCAATGGCATCAGAATAGTTATTAGACCCCAAAATTATTTCTGGGGCCCGATACCATAGTGTTACGACTTCATGACAATAGGTTCGATCAGGTATGGAGAATGTCCTTGCCAGCCCAAAATCCGCAAGTTTTACAAAGCCTTCCTTATTTATAAGGATATTGGAAGGTTTCAAGTCTCTGTGAAAAACTTTATGCTGATGGCAAAATAAAACCGCATCCGCAAGTTGTTTAGAGAATGACTAAAACTGTATTTATGCAAGTGCTACCTCAGCAAGTGGCATAGGAAGTTTGCGCGAACCATCAGAGGGTGAAATACTTGTTGCACGGAAATCCATAAAGCGTTTTAAATCCCATTCCGCGTATTCAAAAACAATAGAAATTTCACGATCCCTGTGTATAATTTCTCTTATTCTGAAAATTAAATAAATATAAGGAAAAGTGTACGGAAATGTTTTGGCTGAGTATTGGCAAAATAGGAAATTAAGTAGTACCCTATGATATTTGGATGCCGAAAATTATCA